GTAGATAGGGTACCAACCTGAAGGTAGCGGAGGAAGGACTTTGTGCCCTCGTCCGCAGTCTTCATGACCCAGCTAACCGGGATGGCTCGTATCAAAGGACCAAACCAGGGTATAAACTTGGTCGTGCGCCAGAACACACCCGCACCCTGAGAAGCGACAGATAAGCCAAGGCCAAAATCGTCCAAGCCAAGCTCGCTGTACGCCTTCCCAAGGATGAACTCGTTGGCCACGTCTCGGGCGAAAGCGCTGATGGCCGCGCCGAGATTGAAAGTCGTCCCAGTCTCGGCAAGACCCAAAACGCGCGCAGAAAGCTTATCCACATTTCGGCGTATGAGATCCTGCCCCCGTGTAGCCACTTTGGTCTTGGAAAAGAAGGGTGCTATCGCGCAACGACGGGCCTTGTGGGCGCGGTGGTCTAAGCCGAACACGGTCGAGCTCTTGGCGCCAAAGGCATCATACGTCCAGGCATGCTTGTCCCAGCGCCTATCCATGCGATAGATCTTGTCGAAGAATGCGGGATCCATGATGTGTAACTCGTGTGGGCTAATGCGGACAATCGGGCCTGGGTAAAATCAAGTCAGTATACTGATGAAAAGGGTGCTTGTTAATAATATTCAAGTTCCGGATCCCTTACCATATTCTTTGTGCAACTCTGCAATCTTTGGTGTGTATTTCCCGCCTTTGATGACATCGTAGTAGCCTTCGTACCAGCGCGAGATGGCGGCCAACTTGGGGCCAGGAAAGCGAGCGAGTGGGTGGAGAAACAGGCGGTAGAACGCTACAGTCACGTAGTAGGCAACGACAGCGCCAGCTACCGTGGGCCAGGTGAGGACAGTGAGGAGGTTTCTGCTGATGGTATCCATGCCGGCTTGATTTAGTAATTAATATAGGGGGGAAATGAGGGGTGCTATCAGCACAAAAGGGGTTCAGAGAGACGAGAGAACAAAACATCCAAAATCTCATTGAACGAGGGGTACGGTTCCCAAATACTCATAAGTGATATGTCCCTGAACAAAATCCTAGCAAAACAAATAACGAAACAGATGTGAACTGGTCCGGGATTCCGGAAATGGCCCGGAATTCCGCACGACCAAGCCCGGATGTCAAGCTGGACCGGATTTCAAGTCCAAACTTCCTCCGTAATCCATCCCTCCCACCATTAACTATCGGTGTGCAGGTGGCCAAGTCAGCGCTAATGCGGCGGAACGAACTCCTTCCCGCTGTGCTTTATGCACCCCGCTGCCAATGACACACCCCATGAATATCACAATTACAATGCAATATAGGGAAGGCAAGAGTTGTCGACAAGGATACTGGAAGGAAACATGCAACATGCCGGGACCGAGAATCTCGGCCTACTTAAAAACCATCGTCTCCCCGAACGCCGCTCGCTGTTCCAAACCTCATCACATTTGGCTCCACGGCTCGCACTCGCTCTCGCATCCACAGCCCATCCATCGTTTCCATCGTTTCTTCCTTCCAGGCGCCCAATTCCCCGCATCTCCAACTTCAACGCTGTGTTCACACACTGCCAACAATATCATGCCGCCCATCACCCCCTTCGACGTCAGCATCAACCTGCACCTCCGCGGTCTACACGCCCTCAAAGCCCTCCTCACCAAGACCCAGGCATCCTCCGACCCCGCTGCTGCAAAATGCCTCCCCGCAGCCCAGTCTCCCCACGATGCGGCGTCACTAGCCTTCCACGTTCAATCCTGCACGAATCTCGCCACCAGCGGACTGAGCCTCCTGAGCGGCACCGAACAGGGGGCTCCAGTATGGCCAACCAATACTGAGAATATAACCCTCGAGCATCTCATCGCAAACGTCGACAAGACCATCATCCAGCTCGAAGGCCCGGGAGGCAGCACCGCTGACCTGCTCGATGGCGTCGAAGACAGGGACCTTGAGGTGACGTATGGCAACGGACAGACAGCCACATGGGCCGGCGGGAGGGAGTATATCCTCGGGTACAGCATACCCAACTTCATGTTCCATCTGTGCATGGCATACTCGTCACTGCGCAGCCAGGGCGTCGATGTCGGGAAGATGGATTTCCTAGTACCCTTCATGGTGGGGATGGCTCCTGGTTTCTAAAGATCCCGGAGACTATTGTGGTACATTTCACTCTTTGGTGGTTAGCAGTAGGGGTTAGCCACTTCACTGATAGCTGGAGGCTTGATAGCAGTCCATGCTTATATTACCCAATGGCGATGCTTCCTTCAAATTAGTAGCTTCCAGCTTCCAGCTTCCCAACGAGAAATCCTTTCCAGATTCGGTGTGACCCAGTTCTCGGTGGCAGAAGCAGAGAGTTGAAAGGAGATTGGACTTGCGAGTCGAGGCCGAGCTGGCCTTTTGCGTGGGGGACAAAGTTTAAAGACGTTGTGCAATGGTGCTTGAACCTTCCGGGCCCCGTCACGGCTATTGAGTATGACGACAGGGTCGCTATTCCGCTAGGAGAGATCTCCGCTCATCAGTAGTGTTCACATGATTTGGCTGCCATTGCCCAAAAAAAAGAAAGAAAAAAAAAGGTGTTCGTTTGTTTTGGTATCTGACATGGTGCCTGCCTCCTTTTACATTTTCCTGGACTTGAACTCCAATCTGTTCACCATCATCTTCACCGACTTCACTCCAGAGTGAACTCCTTCACCGCCCAGTTATCTAAAAAAAAATACTGCGTGACATCTGACATCCAGTTTGTTGGATCTGGGTCTGGGGTGTTCCGGGCGTTGTCAGCATCGACCGGAGCAGACGACGCACCATTATGTTTGGGCACGAGAATTTTGTGCGTGCCGGCGCGAGTATAATGGCGTTCAGAGCCCGCCACCTCCCGAACGATGAGGAAGCTGAAGACGAGGCCAGATTCTTCCGGCAGGCAGCTGAGGAAGATGATCTCCCGTGGCTTTTTACGGAAGCCCAGTTTGTATCCCGATTCGTCTCGACCCATCATCTGTACGACTGATACTGCACCACAGACGTGCGTGAGATCGTTTGGAAGTTGTGCATCCACGGTCCAAGCGCTTTGGACACAGCACTGTGAGGCTGGGCTGGTGACAACGATGGAGGGCGCGAAGTCGGTGGAGTCTGCGCCTGCTCTGATACGGTGAGTGAACTCGTAAAGTGACATGTCTCGTATGTCGGACGATACCTGTGAGACCCGAAAGGATATGGGCAGGGCTTGGTTAATGTTGGGAGCTGGATCCTGTGAAGCCCATGGTATTGTTGGGAAGTCAAGAATGAACTCCCACCCGATTCAACTCCAGGACGGGAACCCATCTCGCGAGTTTATGTCTTCCGGCGGCTCCGCGGTTGTCCAGCCGAGAGAGGTCATGAAGTCTCTGTCCAGGTTCCGCAGGGTAGGATCTCTGTCTGCGTAAAAGGGGATGCCCCACAAGTGGAAAGGCCCTCCCAGCAATACGTCTCTCCATGCGTTGGAAATACACCTGTGAGTTGGCGAAGACGAGGCGCCGTCGTGAGAGTAAGCCTTCCTGGTGCGTCCAGGCCTGTGTTGCCCACTCTGAGCAGCGCACTTCCTTCGTCGAGTCTTTGAACCTAAGGAAGCGGCAGCCGCCAAGCGTGATGGACATTTGGTCACAGCGGGGTACACTCGACACGCCCGGTAGGCCATCGTTGGCGTTATCACCAGCCGCGGCAACGATTGTGATGATGGCACGGCTATAGATGCTGTCCACACGACCAATGACGGCATGTTTCTCGGCGGCGTTGGTCTGGTCGATGCAGTGCCTGTCAACCCAGAGATAAGGGATCCCCATCCCGCGAGCAACGGTCATTGCGTCCTCAGCTACCATTGGCGCGTGGTCGTGAAGCGTTGTGCCCTAGGACAGTGGCGTTGGGTCCAATTCCGCCTGATGCACTAAGCAATAGCTCAATGCCAAATATCTACAGCCTTCTGGGGCGGGGACGATGTTTCTCGTGACACAGTCGATCAACTTGAGTCCTGGCAGCTGCAAGTCAGCATCATGAACACAGTCGCCCCAGCACCTCGCGCCGTGGTGAAGAGAGCAGTCTTGCAACCACTGCCGAAGCAAGTTGTAATCGATCCGTCGAGGCTCCATATCCCGACTGGTAATCCTGTTGCTCATATGGCCCTCAGATGGGTAAGGCAGAAGCAAGTCCCTAGAAGAAAAATCGTCAGAGCCGTTGAAGATCTCAAACAAGACAACGTCTTCGATATCGTCGCTCTTAAATAGGTGTCCGTGACGAGTGACCTATGATTATAGGTGTCCCCTCGCCGACCTCCAGGGGATGAACAATGCAGCAAAGCCTACAGAGCTTGTCCTGATTCGCCCATCTAATTCTCTAGCAGTACGGTCGAGGAGAACAGTTGACCCAAGTCGCTACGGCGAGGTTCTGGCTGGCTAGCTTCATGCCGACGACAGCACCGAGATTTAACCCCTGGCAAAATTTGCAGAGGCGGCTGTTTTTACTGCTGGGGTCGGGCATGTTGTCGTTCTCTGACTGCTTGGAGGCTGGATCGCGGGCTGCTGTTTCCATGTCATAGGGGTGAGGGAGGGGAAGGAGCAAGGATTGTGCGATCGTCGAAAATAGAAAACAGCTACGCTGAGGGTCTTGGCATTTCCCCAATCATGCCTTGCTAAATACTTTTTGCGTTTTTGTTCCGCATCTGGCAGTATTCTCTCATCAAAGACGATGGGGAAGAAAGGGTTTCTGTTGTTCCTGGAGAGGCTGAGAACACCAAAACGATGAGGTGAGCATGCTTGTTCATTTTTGTCTGCAAGATTGGCTTGTTGCTGCCTGGAGGAATATACAAAAAGAGAACAGGGAAGGACCGAACAATCTAGAGGAAACTATGCTAGTCAGTCTGGAAGGACCCCGATCTCTGATGGGTCGTTGCTCCTTCCCCTTCGACGTTGCTAACGACAGGTTGATAGCGTCCTGTGGGTCGATTCAAGCGGGAAAGCGCGACTGCGGCTGCGGGGTCCTCTTTCTAGCCAATAAACTCAGCGCTCTCTCATCAAGGCCCGCTGGCTCAATGGTAGAGCGTCTGACTACGATTCATTCAGTTATCAGGAGGTTCCAGGTTCGAGACCTGGGTGGGTCGACTTTTTTGAACTTTATTTTTGAACTTTTTCGTTTTCAAGGCAATTTGAACCCTGCCACATATATTCGACTACTATCGTTTTTGACGCCCCGCCGATGAAGGGCGATAGGTTGAACCAGGACAGGGCGCGGAGGACAAGCCGTCACGTGTATTGCATGCAACTTCAGCTGCGGTCATCCCATCAAGGAAGCGCACAGACCGACACCGCTCTCTCGCTGTGGGTGGCTTCGTTCAGCCTTGCCGAAGCTGCGGTATTTTTTCTATTTATCCTCAGCTTCAGACGGAAATCGCCCCAATCCTCATGTCCGAGCCTGGCTTTTCTATCTACCTACACCAACACCCACCCTGAAGCATAAACTAAAAGGGGAAGAGAAAAACAAAAGGAAAAACCCCCCAAAAAAAGACCCAAAAAAAGACACCCAAAAAATCCATGGCGGAGCAGCACTCTCTTCTATGCTTAAAGTGCCGCGGTTCGGGCCACAATGTCAGCCAGTGCAAACGCGGCGCGTGGCAGCCTGAGTTGAGCTGGGCCTTCTCCGAGGAAAGAAAGTCGATGGCTCTCGGGAGTGTCTCCACAGGCACAGACGGCTCAGTCGTTTGTTCCCGATGCGAGAGCCTCGACTTGATCGGTCTTCTCCAGTCACGCCCGCCGTGGAACTCGCAGTCGGAGCTTGCCGAGGCGTTGGATGAGGAGACGACCGAGTCGACGAACGGCTCGATCCGAAGCCTTGGGAAAACGGGTTCCGTGTCGTTCTGGGCCGACTGTGATGTTTGCCGTTGTCTGTTTGCCATCACGCCGAATCCGAGCTCGGAGGAGCAAGAAGTGCTCCTGCTCCCGGACTGGACCATCTGCAGAGTGGCAGGGGAGTTAGGGGCCAAGGCGGACGCGCCGGAAAAGCGAGACTACGCCACCTGCTTGCTCTCCGTGCTCAGGCCGAGCTCCATCTCGCTCCCAACATCAGTCGTCTCACACCGCGGCGATGCCCTGTGTCTCGTGGAGAGCGACTTGACGCAGCAGAGGACGCTCGGCGGCCGACAAATCCATCCCCACCACGAGATGAACGCCGGCACGGTCCTCGGTTGGATTCGGTCTTGCGCCGAGCGTCACGATGAGTCCTGCGCTCCCGTGCCAACGAGAGAGTTGGATGCCGTCCGCCTGATAGACGTTGAATCGCGCCAGGTGGTGAGGTATCCCGGGCCAGACTGCGAGTATGTTGCGCTGAGCTACGTGTGGGGCAATGTCACACAGGATCGCTACAAGCTGGGCGACAGGCTCAAAGAGCTTCCCCGGACGCTGGAGGATGCCCTAGCCTTTACCAAGAGGCTCGGCAGGAGATACCTGTGGGCAGATTCTGTCTGCATAGATCAGTCAGACGACGACGACAAGGCCGACCAGATCAACCGGATGTGGAGCATCTACCGCGCTGCCTACGTCACCGTCATCGCTCTCTCGGGCACGTCGGCGCATTCCGGCTTGTCACGATTCAGCCGGCCGGACTGCTATCCGCAGCTCAGGTGCCGCATCGAGGGAAAGACGCTCGTTAGTCTCATGCCCACCCTGTCTCAGCAGATCTGGGTGACCCCGTGGGGCAGACGCGCCTGGACCTTCCAGGAAGGCTTGCTGTCGCCGCGATGTCTCTACATCAGCGATCACCAGATCTACTTTGACTGCTCGTCCATGCAGTGCTGCGAATCGCTCGACGAGTCCCGGTCGTGGGCCCACAGCCTAACGCCCTCGTCGAATCCCACCGAAGAGGGCTTCGTGACCTGGATGCTGCGCCAAGCCGGTGCCGGCGCCCTTCGCATCCCGCTCGACTGGCCGTCGAGGAGACTCGAGCATTGGGGCGAGAAGCTGAACCTCTATTCCTACCGAACCATGCGGTACGCCGAGGACGCCATCCGGGCCTTTGCCGGCGTGCTGCAGCGACTCGAGACCATCTACCCGAGAGGCTTCTTCTGGGGCCTGCCGATCGAAGACTTTGACTGGGCACTGCTCTGGCGGTCTCAGGTGCCCCCCACGCGCCGGGAGGGCTTCCCGACCTGGTCGTGGGCCGGATGGCAAGGCCCGCTCTTTTTCGGGCAGCCGATCGATGTCAAGAAGACGCGCCAGACGCCCACATATCTGGAGATCAGTGGCTATCACAGGTCGGGACAACTGAAACAGATCTTTGCCACGCGGTGCGATGATACACTCGCTACTAGCAGTAGCCACGACACCGGCGGCGGCCTACGCGTCATACTGCGCAACGATCCCATCGAGAAGGCCTCACGCGAGACGCTTCCCGAACAGGAAAGCGGCGGCGGCCCCGATCATCAACATCCCTCTGCCGAGAAAGAAGGGCATCTCTCCGTGACCGCCGTATTTCTCCACCTGAAGCCCGACTTTCGGACACCTCGAACCAGGACCTATCAGGCGGGCCAGCTTGCCACCTTCCCATTCCGCGTGAGGGAGGTTCAGTGCTACATCAGAATCATGAGCACGGATCGTTGCATTCCCGGCCGATGGGATGCAGCGGGAGACGACGACGACCGATGGGTTCCCGACCATGAAAGTCCCGAGGAGCAAGAAGAATGGGTTTGCATGCTGGTAGCGCGCGATCACATGCAAGGCTTTGTGATGCATCATCTTATGCTTGTCAAGATGCGGAAGTCAGTGGACTCGGGCGAGGAGGTTGCCGAGCGCGCAACCGTGTTCGAGCTCCTGGTTCCGTTGGAGGACTTGGACATACTGGAGCATTTCATGCCCCGGAAGCGAAGGATGATCTTGGCGTGAATCACACAGTAAATAGTATGAGTGGGGCAGCCTGGTATTCCGTGTCGAACACCCTGGCGAAGGGCGCGCTCCATCGATTCCTTGTGCGAGGTGAGCTTAAAGTCGTCGAGCGTCTTAACGAAGGCGGTCAGGATGGTGCCGAGCTGCTTGAGGATGTCGGCGCCGAAGGAGAAGGCGGAAAACCGAGTGTTAAGGATCTCGGTGAGGAAGGACATGTGCACCTCGGCGGTTTTTAGGGGGTTTTGGTGTAGACTTGCACGTCGCAGGCCCGGTTTTAAGAGAAAAGAAGCCGGCTAGTGCGGGTCTAGTGATGGCTTGGAAGGCCCCGTCAATGTTGTTGGAGGACGGGGCCGATTGAAAGACGAAAACTGCGTGCTAATGCTTGCACTCCATGCCGTGCGACGCCGAGAAACGTTGATAGTGGCCGCCTTGGCATGGATGTGGTTCAAGTTTGCTACTGCACACTGTCTCGTCTGCAGCCCTATCAGGCGCTAAGACGGCAACTGTCGGACACGGCAGATGTAGTCACTGCAGTGTAGTCTGACCAGGTCCACTCATTCCATTAGAGCTTGCAGTTGCGGGTGATGTCGTGCGGCCGCTGGCGGTAAAAGACGCGATAGGTTTACTTCAACGAGGCTTGGCGTTTGCCACACTGCGGGAATGGAAAATGAACAAACAAGCACCTAGGAGACGCGAGTCGGAGGATATTTCATTTCTCTACTGCTAATTACATTCCAACACAATCCTTCACCACGCCTCATGCCTGGGTATCATGAGCACCACTGGCATGGTTTGCCATATCCTTCGTCGCGCATTTAGTATGTTTAACCCTGCTGCTATCAAAATCTCGAGTGCTTTTAAAACCCCATCCCTGTTGTTCCCACAAAGAGAAGTGTGTATATGGTGGGGGAGTCAGGTGTCGTCCATCGCAGACATGCATGCATGTCTTTAGAGGAGGGCAGCGAAGATACCCGCGGCGGCGGCGGCCATCTCGACGCCGTGGGCGATGCGGCCGGCACCAGCGGTGACAGGCACGCTGCTGGTGCTAGTGCTAGACGTCTTGGGAGGAGCGGTGACGGTGCCGACGGACGAGTACAGGGACGAGTACTTGGTCAGCGTGGAGGAGACGGGCACGGACACGGGGCACACGGTGGTGCCGATAGTGATGATCTCGGTGGTGACGGTGGTGCTGTGGGCAGGGCAGTTGGTCACGGTGACGGGGCACTTGGTGACGGTGTAGGTGGTGGTGGACAGGATGGTGGAGGTTGTCCAGGGGCCGGTGTAGCCGGTGGAGGAGGCGGGGGGGATGCTCGAGCCGGGGTTGGTTGTGGACGAGACGGGGGCCTTGCTGGAGACGATCTCAGACGAGGACGCCGCCGGGGTGGAGGAGGAGGCCACGGGAGCCGAAGTCGACGAGACCTCGGGGGTCGAAGAGGCGGGAGTTGAAGAGGCAGGAGGCGGCGTCGAGGACTCCGGGACAGACGTGCTCGACACAACCGGGGTGGAGGTGTGGGTGGCCGTGTAAGTGATGCACGAGCAGGCCGAGCTGACCGCCTTGATGTTGCCGTCGCAGTTGTTAAAGTCGGTAGGAATGGCCGATGCCTCAGTCGTGGTCGAAGCTAGGAACTCGGGGCACCACGACACCGCCTCCGCGGCGAACCGCTCGTCGATTAGGTTGCGGTAGCAGCCATCGGACTCCTGCACGGTATTAGTACCCCATATAACCCTAACCCCGACTTTGCGAACTTACGCAGTTGGGGTACTCGTGAGCCTGGACCAGGCCAAGAGCAAGAGCTCCCAAAGACAGAATTGCGGAACGCATATTTGATGGTTGTGTGTTTTCGGTTGCGAAAGCGAGTGACTGTTGTGCGAGAAGCGACAGAAAAACAAACAGAAAGCGAGCGACTGTTGCGATTCGAAATTCACGGATGCAGAGAGAGAAGGAAAAAATAGGGAAACCAAACAAAACCTGCAGGCAAGAGGGGGGCGTCCTTTTTAATCCACACCTCCCTCCCCCAACCGTGGCGGCGCTTTTGTCGAGCGAGCAGCGAGCAGAGAAAAAATACGAGGCGACACAAAATAGAAATGTGGGTGTGATTGGCTCTCAGGGCCTCCCGGCCAGCGCCGCGCCAGCCGGTCACAGGGGCAGCATTGGGATTCTGGGGAAGCTCAGGGGTCAGCCGCCCTGAAAGATTTGGCCACTAAACCCGGTTGAGGAGATTAAGTGGCACGGCTCGTCCTGTCGCCCCCCTCCCCTCCTTTGTGCATGGCATGGTCATCAACAGATTTTCCGAAGAGACCGACCCCCCCAACCCCCCCTGGCAACAGCCAACACAGCTGGACAAATGCTGGATTAGGGGGCTTGGCATTCTTTTCAGGCTGCTCCGTGCAGCGCCTTTTGACGCCTCCAGTGCCCCTTTTGGCCCTCACTGACGTGCAATCTTGTGGTTGGTTCTTCAAATCTTCACCGTTCAAATGAGTTGTCTCTGAAATGCTTGGCCATAACAAAAGTATCAGCCACCATTTCGGGTGCGGAAAGGGGGTCATTTACTCCGTAGCGAAAAAGAAAACAAGATGAAAGAAGATCCAAGGTGAGGTGGTGGAGGGGTCCAAAGCGTATTTCAGGTTCGTGGGCGGAGCGCGCTTTCGCTCTTTCCTTGAAAGGGGGTTAAAAATGATCGGACGATTTCCATTACCTAACAAAGTCTAAAATGTTCGTATTGGGGCGCAATGCCTGTTGCGGTGACGTCCATGGAATGAATGGAAAGCTGGCAAACATCCACCCATCCCCAGAAAGCCGCTCAAGCAGGTGGAACCCACTCAACGTCGTGACATTTGGGCGGGAAACTGACGCCGCTAGGACAGGAGAGGAAAATTCGTTGGAACCGCTGGCTGGGCAAGTTGGCAAGTTGCACGGGGCAGCACCCGACCATGGGTTGTCAGACCACCCGCTGTCAGGTACCGATGCTAGCGGCGCTAGGTTGTATCACCCCACAAATGTCTGCCCCGTTCATCTTCCTCCAGATGCGACTGTAAAAATCGAGGTGTACGGCTGACCCTCGGACTCGGAACCCGGAATTTTGCATTGTTTTTGCAACGGGGATCTCATTTGCTATGCTGCTTACTGTCTCCCTCATAGAGAATTCTGTTTGGAGGAGTGAGGGAGACCGAGAGTAGTTCCGGAAAATCCGGCCGAGATGCCGGGTTCAACTCCTTTTTCGTACCTATTGACCGCAGACCAGGGCTGAGCGTATTCGAACTGTCAGCAAAAAAACGCCAGCAGGATAAAAGGATGCCGTTCCACTCCCGGTCATCTACCCACCGAGACCGAGTTCAGATGAGGATCTACCAGCGGTTCCTAGCCACGTCCTCCCAAGAGAGTTTGCACATCAATTTAGCAGCGGAAAGCAATACGCCACAACAAGCTGGGATAAATGAGCCCCAGTCTTGCTGTCTCTGCGAAATGTGATCGGACAGTGGCTGGGAAGCCACGAGTCCAAGCGGCTTTTCTTTTCTTTTCTTCTTTTTTTTTCTATGATACGGCGCCTGTGCTGATGTCCCAGCGAGTCGATCACGATAGGAGAATCGGTAAGTAGGCACCTATGGTCAAGCAAGTCAGAACTCAAGCTTCAGCAGACTTCCAGCCAGCTGGACTTTTCACAACTCAAGTTCAATTACCGTCTCAAATGGAAATGCTCGAACGCAGATGACGAGCTTGGAGGGAATCCATCAGATCCTCCACTCCGCAAGTGCTGACAGCTCCCCAGAAGGAATGATTGCGTCCCTTAGATGCTCAAACTAGGTTTTCCTCCCTGTAGACAGTCGTTACAAACTGTTCCTCGCTTCATATTCGGGCCTTCCTCGCCCCCTATCACTAAGATTTCGGGCGGGAAACAAGCACTAGGCTCGGATTGCATCCGCGTCGGGCTTGCGATTGATACAAGTCGCACCCAGGCATGGTTCTGGACAATTCAACTCACATTGAAATATAGAAACCGAGGATAACAAGTCAGTTCAGTTTACCTCTTTCGCCTCACTGGAAGGTGCGTTCATTAAATTCAGGTTGGACTTGATCAGTTCAGGATTGTAGTCAATATAACATGCAGCATTGTATTTATCATGACGTCAAAGGGGGTTATGGCAGATCATCTTGACGAGAGAAGAGAAAAAAGGCAGATCACGCTCAAAACGTTCCCTATCTTCTCGTCCATCTTCTCATTCTCTATTTCATATGGTCTCTTGCGTGTAACAAGCACACAGAGCAGGCAAGAACCGTTCTACAAAGGACACCGATGCAATGGCACAAGCAAACAAGAAATACCATACCCGTGGACAGGTTGGCCCATGCCAAAGCAGATAAAAGAGCAAGAAGCCTTAGACAGTGGTTTTGGTAGGTAGCTGATGACCGTTAGATTGGTACGATAATGACAGGCCTCACAGTCCGGCTACGCCTTCCGCCCCCTCTACGGAGGGAAAGTACAAAACTCGAAGTTTATTACAACCCATCGAGCAACCGAACGTCATTTCTAAAGTGCTAAAAATACACAATAGCATCGAGTGGATTCTCGTGTTGCCACTACCCCTAAAGTGGCCGCACTATCCGCCAGGCAGTCCAGCTGCCTAATCCGGCTATGACTGTAACCCCTTCAAAGGTCTTCGCCTCCAACTGCACTGCCTCCTTGCCTGTCTGCCTGTCTGCCTGCCTACGGAAAATTAATGAACCAACCCACCAAACCACCTACCTGCCTACCACCTACGCCAAGACCAAAGATTGTCACCGTGCACAGTCCACCAGCGTCAAATATATAACCCCCCTTTCTCCCCTTTCTCCCCTTTCTCTCCTTTTTTGGGGGGTGGTTACACCTTTTTTCTGGCTGACTGTCCGGTGCTCAAGAAAACCGCGAAAACAGTGCTGGCGTGAGCCTACAGGGCGAGCTGTCCATGTCGTGTCTCTAAACCCCGGGGTCGCATTTTTGCATCCTGGTGGTTCGGGGCCAGGTCCAGCCGCAATTTTTATACCAACCCCAAACTTTTCTTTTTTTTTCCACTGTGTTCATCGCTTTTCAGTGGTGCCACGGAGGAGATTAATAAGAGAAAAACTTGGGATGAACTAGCTGCGCCCGTGTGTGCCTGGTCTGATGTCAGATATGCCCCCCCTCCCGCTTAAGTACAGTGCAACGGTACTACAGTGTACAACATAGAAGGAGGAAGAATCAATCCCCCGCAGCGCATTTAGCTTTCCCCCTGAAAAATATGAACTTTGCAACACAATTGTTGGGCCAAAAAAATCCTTCAGTCCTCCTGCCTCCTATTCCTGTGTCTGGTCCGAGAGTCTTGCATTGGCCCCCTAACACTTAAGCCAGACCCACGGGTCTTCTCATAGTTTGTCATTACCTCTAACGTCTTGAAAAACTTCCCACTCTCACTTTCTAGTTCATTGTCTTGGTTCATAGCACATGTGAGCATTGAATAATCTGAAATTATATTCATTGACAACAATTCGTGTATTTTCCCCCACAACTGGGTGAAGATGTCAATAAATTTCAGCAAAACAAAATATCCCTATGCGGCTACTCGCTAAAAATTGAATAAAACTGTAGACGATATTGCATTCGCTTAATTGAGTTCTCGTCAAGGACGAAGTCCAAATTCAACATGACCAATATATCTCCCGAATAATACGTATCCATCCATGATCCCACCTCGTAAACTCGCCCAACTCCAGTGTCTCCACGTCCCGACTCAAGGCCCTCCCCGGCCACGGAAGCGAACAGCATCCACCACAACCTTCAAACTCCTCAACTCTGAAAACGTCTCCACATTACAACCCACAAACCTTCAGGCTCCTCCCATGCAAGAAAAGACAAATAGCAGACTCGAATCTCCAGCAAACAGCAATAATTCGGCCCGCTGGCTCAATGGTAGAGCGTCTGACTACGATTCGTGACTGATAACTTCAATCAGGAGGTTCCAGGTTCGAGACCTGGGTGGGTCGAAGTCTTCTTTTTGGACCCCCCTCGCGACGTATTATCTTATCTTGGGACGATGTGAGCAAATAGCTACCTAGGTAGGTACTATCTTATCTTGGGATAATGTGAGCAAATACCTTGGTACCTAGCCTGGTATGGAAAGGGAGGGAAGGGAAGGGAAGGGAAGGGAAGGTTAAGGCTGTTAGATTTGTATTATTTCCTTTTAAAGTACCTTTTGAGGTCGCTTCTACGTAGACGGTATAGGACTAGAGTATCGCCTCCCTGCATTCGTTTCCAGTGACGCATGCATCTTTTCTATTTACATCGGAAGTTTTGGTTTTAACCCTGGGATACCTCTTGGGATGTTGCCGAACCACTCTCCGCAAATCATCTTATACACAAGTCTGATAAGGGTCGTGGGCAGGCCATGGATCCTCCCTTGTTTGACGAGATACCCGCAGACGGCATCGATATCGGGCCGCTCCCCCTCCCTCAGTTCTCGCAGCAGCGGGCTGGTGTTTTTCGCCGTGCTGCTGGCTGCGGCGCGGACGAGGTCCATGAGACCCGCGTCTGAAAACTTGCGTCTGCGGCGGTCATCCAAGGAGGTCGGCAGCAGAGCGCGCACAATGGGCCCGACTTCCTCGAGGAGCTTGGTTATGGTGGTCAGGCGTGACGGATCGTCTAAGAGTTCGCCGTCGCTACATCTATGAATGGCGGTTAACGAAGATACGACGGCCTCGACAACTAGATTGAGGAGCTGCGCTTCCTTTAGCTCGTCCGCCGACACAACGGTGGTCTCGAGGGCTTTGGCCTGCAGAAGCTGGCGGATCAGGTGGTTATTTTCCTGGGCATGACGGCCAGCATCATCATCAGGCGTCATAACTCGACCGACAGTGAGGGGCCCTCGCTTAGCGTGTACGATACTGAATGGGGCTGTACTGTAGACGCTCGCACTGCAGATGGCGGCCCAGTAAGTTGGGCGCAGCTTTGGGTCGGGGAAATCATGGGTAGAGACCAGGTCAGTTATGCCTGCTCATATAGTTAGGGGATGGATGGAAGGTAAAAAAGTTGAAGGAGAGGTTCCAATGCAAGGCAAGGCAAGGACGTACCCATTCCATGCGGGAGGAAGAGAATGGTGGAATCGTGGTTCAGTCTGTCACGGATGGGGCCCAAGCCCAGGGCATGCTGTAAATCAACTGCCTTGGTAGCGACAACCAAGTACTTGATTGGGTCCAGGTTGCGGGGAACTTTGGGCGGCGCGGGGAGAGGACGGTCTCTTTGGGTCTTCCAGGGTTTGATGAAGGGATCTTCCAACGGCGGGGGCTGGAGGTTCTCAAAACGGAAGCCGGTTTGCTTGTCTGTTGTGGGATGGGGAGGCGGGGTGGTACATTCAATGGCATGTCCGGCGGCTTTAAACTCGTCTACCCGCTCGCGGCGGTGGAAAAGGAGGGCTACGGGCAGCTGAGGTTTCGACTGGGCGAGGGCGTGGGCGACGAGCTGGCCCAGCCTCCCGACGCCGAGGATGTAGATGGTATCATCAGGGGACGACTCGTGGCGCGGCGCGTCGTCAGGTGGAGCCCCCCAAGAGGAGAGGGCGCGGCATCGGTGGGCAGTCAGGGTGGGTGTGGAAATGGTACCAATAACAACGCCATTGTGGCCGCGGCTCAAAATGAATGTTCGTGGAGAGAGGCGCAATGAGACGCATCGGGGCGCTCTCATGCTGAGAATGCATGGAGGCTCATGAGCGACGACGGACCGTGACGCGCGACTTTTGGAGTCGTGAATGTGGGACGATGATTGGACCCACACTTTCCAGTTTCACATTGCGGCTTATCAGTTCCGGCAAACAGATGGAAGTGCTTTGTCACGTGAGCTGGCATCTTGGCGTTCCCGGGGGAAAAAAGGCCCCACAGTCCCTTTTTGGTTTTTGAATCTTGATGAGGTACCAGCGTCTTAAGCTCAGTGTGAAAGCAAGAGCTGGTGAAAATTTGAAAGTTACGAACAAAGCCCCTTCTACAATACGTATTCATATCCTGGCAGATCTATCAATGAGCAAACCGAAAGTCCAGCCTCTTGTTCCCCTCGTCCTTCGTCGTCTCCAAGTAGTGCTGCTTCTCGTCGTCACTCATCGCCCTCCAGATCTTATCCCTCGAGCTGTTCCTCCACATGTAATAACACTTGATTAGCACAATCAGCACGATGTTATAGATCGTAATACCAATCAACACCCTGTTCCCCTTCCGGTAAAGCGGCTTATCGTTCTCCTGGTAGATGTTGGACGCAATGATGGAGCTCGCCTGTACCGACATGTTGTATAGGGCCGAGCCGACCGTCCTGGTACGCACCGACCCGGCATTTCTCGACGTGATGGCCACGATGATGGCGTGTACGTAGGGGAACCCCACGGCCAGCACGAGCAGCGCGTACCGCGCCCATGCGCCATAACTGGCCGGGATCACGGCGAGAGAGACGATGAGGGGCAGCATCCAGATCTGGCAGAAGAGGACCACGCCAAAACGGTTGTTGATGCGCTCGCTGAGCCACGTCCAGAAGATGAGTTGTAGCAGCAGGAGCATGGACGCAGGGATGGTGAGCAGGTTGGAGGTAAAGGTGTCGAACCCCAGGCTGCGTAAGGTCAAGGTCAGGTACGACTGGATCGTGTGGTTGTGCAGCGTCCAGGTGAAGCCGAGGAGGTAGACGGGGAACAGGTCCCAGTCCGTCAGGGCCTGCCAGAGGAGCTTGAGGTTGAGGCCCTGGCGGTTATGCATGTCGCCTTTGGAAGGGTCGTCGCGCAGGATGCGATTGACCATGATGATTTCCTCTCGTTCGGTAAACCAGCCGCTCTTGCCGCGGAAACGGGATGCTGTTTGGGTGGGGGATGGTGGGAGATAGTACCTGATTCGGTTAGGTTAGCTGTCTGCATCTCTGGAGGATATTGCTTGGCGGAACGTACCAAGACGCAATGCCGATCAGTGCAGTCAAGATACCCTCCAAGGCAAACAGCCATCTCCATCCCTCCCAGCCGTTGTGGCCACGAAGACGGAGTATGCCAAAGGCGAGAAAGGCGCTGACAACTTGGGTTAAGATATACGCGCCCCAGAAGAAACTGAGCCGAATGGGGAGCTCTTTACTCTTGTAAAAGTAGCTCAGGCTAATGTAATGATCAGTATTTTACAAAGCGAAAAGCGTCAATACTATTGAGGATCAGCGCTCACTAAAGAATGACGTCTGGAATGAACCCTCCCTCAATCAAGCCAAGGAGCCCACGGGTGGCATAGAACGACGATTGTCCGGTCAGACGGCATTGGCAGATGGCGACGATAGACCAAGAGACCATTTGGATGGGGATCCAGTTATCAGGCCCAAGTTTCTTGGAGATCATCTGCCTGTATTTTCCCAGTCAGCATCAACGGACGCATTGTTGATGGTGTGTAAGGCCGGGTGATATAACGTACGATGGCAGCTCGGCACAGAGGAAGCAGATATAGAAGATGGTCTGGCCATAGTTGTACTGGTTTGTGTCGAGTCTCAGGTCGGCTGCGATGATTGGTCCCAGGTCAGCGAACTCATGCTATCGCCTAAAAGCGTTGTGCGACTCACACAATAGGTTGTCGGTCAAAGCCTGCGCAATGTTGCCCCGATCCAGCTGCAAGGCAAAGAACATGAGACAGACCCAGGAACAAATGCGGACGTCCAACTTCCGGACGATGTGCTGCTCCTCCTTGTCGGACCACTCAGCCTCCGGGTCCCAGCGGTGCTTGCCTTCGTAGGAATCGATGGGCTCATAATAGCGAGCCTGGCCTCCAGAGGCAAAGGCCTCACCTTCGAGCTGCTTCGCCTCTCGAATCGTCTTCAAATCATTAGGGGTGATCAGGCTGCTCCGCCTCCTGAAGTCGAGCTTTTCCGGTTCGATCTTGGTCAAGGTCTGGGAGATGACGGATGACCGCCGTCCTCCACCAGCAGTGCTGGAGGAGGCAACCGAAGACTTGCGTCGTTCATTCTGAGAAACGGCGAGAGAAACTCTGCGTTCGACTTCTTCGATGGGTCTCTGGGAGATGAAAGTGCCAGGTGCAGAACCCACAATGCCAATGTCAGCCATGGTGGTCGATTGAGAAGAAATGTTTGGTGCATCAAATTTGCGGTCCCCGCCGTGACATAGGAGAGGATCAGTGCTCACATTTAATAAATATCCAAACTTGGACAGCATCGTCATTGATTCTGCCAGTGGCTTCTTCAAAGAAAGGCCCCCAATACCGAACCGCAGTAGTCCATTGCGATATCAAGCCAGCTTATAATGTGGCTTTAAGCTACATGGCCAACACGCAGACTAATCAGATTCATAAGAGTCCAATTGAAGCCGATCATCTCCCCTCTAAAAGGTGCCGCTTCGCCCAAATAGGAAATGCTCCCAACGGTTGACAGTGGCAGGTACGTCACCCCACAGCGAGGTCAAATAATGCAATATTAGCGAAATATACGCCATACACATCGCGAAAGACAGATTGGCTGGAAGGCGTATTGGAAGTTGGAATGCTACGCAACGCGACAGGTTAATGACGTCGATTACGGGAACGTGCTTGCGGATCGCGGGACATCCATATTTGTCGAAGTACCACTTCCTAGGGGTCTTTGTTGTACTCGTGCATCGGGATTCATCTGGTAAGACTTCCACAACTCTTGGGCCACGACACGGTGCTGCCGCTGTGGATGAACTGGACGAAGTACCTCGTCGTTCGGTCCATGGACTCGACGTAAATCCACTCGAGCGTGTCCACCGCGTTGCGGAAGTTAGCCATCATATAGTTGACGACAAAGACGTACTCGGACCCTGGCTTCCACGACGACGGCCTGGTAGATGTAGGTGTGGTGGTACACGACGTGCATCTTAGAGCAATTCGTGTTGTAGACGTAGTATTCCAGGCTGAACCTGCCATCGTAGCGCATCTCGATCGTGCCTTCCCCGGAACGCTGTTGGCCCGCTTTCAGGTGGTGTCGGTTATGCTGGGGTCGTACCAGTTGGCTCCTG